GTTGATGAGATCAAGCAAATTCTGGTCCACCAATATCCGAGCCCAGCGGTAGTAATTCCAGATCCTGGCAAACCACACATCGAAGTATAGATGGTATTCTCCTCGAAAGACTGCTCGTGGCGGGAGATCGGGTGCTTTCTCTGTGCGATAGAGCCATTGACCCTCTAGACTGTCAGCCCAGGCCCCCAGCTCGGTGTCGAGGCTCAAAAGCTGGCGAATTGTGTTAGTAGTTTTTGGTTGCCCGTCGCTGAGAACATGGCCTTGTATGAAAGACGATATTTGGACAAAGCGAGCAATCAGGAAAGCAAGGTCCGTGGACGGCTGGTCGGTAGGGTGCTGGAGTCGAGTGCCGAATGAAATCCAGTCAAAAAATTCGCGGGGTACCTCCATTGCAGTAACTTGTATGGGAATGAACTAGCAGGCCCAAAGTCAACTCTGTTTTTGCACCTTTACCGCCAAAAAAAAAAAAAAAAAAAAAAAAAAAAGGCTTTGGGTGCTTGTGATGGGCTCTGGCATTTGCTTACCATGGAATAACACAACTGCATCAAGGCTCTAAATCCTCCAAATGGGGCGTTGGGTAAAGGACACCAGCTCCTCATGAGCGCGGCGCCACCCATGACATGAGCGTGCACAGTGCCCGTGGCGTGATGCGTGCCCTTGACGACCTTGGAGAAGGGCTATGTCAGTATCCCGTGGTCATACTCCGGCGAATCAATGAAACCTCACCTCAAACATGGCAAGCATGACTACCGACCGTATAGTCACTTCGAGACTCGGCGCGTTCGGTGGCTGAATCAACTGGCCGGTCTGGCGCAGTGCTTGGCCATACTTTTGCCGCGCCGCGGCCATCATGTCTAATGGGTTGAATGTGAGCAATCGGGAGCCTCGAATGATCCCATCATGTCGACGACATACCTGCATTGCCCGTGAGATTTGACAAGCCCGCGAGCCCGACTGCCGCCATGACATGCTGGAGGGCGGGATTCCAAAGCCAAGCTGACGAACCAAGCTCGCCGATCGTTTTGGGCTCGTCTGGGTGACCGAGGAGATATCGGTCGACATAGAACTGGATACCACGTTCCTCTAGGCTGGGTCCTATCAAGAGCGAGGACAGCGCAGGTTCGGCTGGCTCCTCCTTCACGACGACCACGGCATTCGCAGCCGAGGGCATGCCGATCGAAGGCGAACGTTGCAATCCGCCGGACTGAAATGGTGACGGAGTGCTCCATTGAGGATCCGGTTTTGGGGGTTCAGGATGCGTACTGGGAGAGGACCTGGCAACAGCGGAAACGGAGAGCGGACGTGGCGGCTGAACGGGGGGAGAGGGAGATGAGATTGAGGTGGAATTCGAAGGTCGCCGGGACACAGCCGCGGTCGAAACAGCGACAGTGGACGCAGCATCTGACGCGGAATCATGTCCCCATTGAGCATGCGCTTTCTGAATGACCTTGGTGCTCTCATCGCGGAACATGAGCGACAGCTGATCCCGGTATCCAGGGCATTTTTTGCCTGCACGAACACACTGCGAGCATTCGGGTTTGGCCTTGTTGCACTATGTGTCTTGCTGTTTAGAGACAGAAAGCAGAAATAGGCACTCGTGAGTTTCTGTCCATGGCGACTTACCTTGATGCGGCGGACTCGGCAGTGCTCGCAGCCCTGTGAGGCCTTACCGCAGTAAACCATGGTGTAGATGAGTGGAAGCGCGGGGAAAGGGGGCGTGGGGGCGTGAAGAGATCCGTATACTACGGCATGAGAGTAGATGACTCGACTCACTGGTTTTACCAGTGTCCACCAATGTAACAGTAGTCAGTCGTCACCGAGAAAAGCTAGTTTCGTGACGAGAAGAATCCTGCTGCTACTTTGGCTCACGAACGTGGCCTAGTCGTCCATGTCCCAAAACAAGAGGCCGGCAGTGCAGGGCCACAAGATCACCTCCACAAGAAAGTCAGCGCCCACCAGTAGACGTTTTGTTGCATAGGATAGGTAGTGCCGGTGCGCGTCGTGCGTGGTGTGTGTGTGTGTGTCCTCGGGCGTTTGTCGGCGAGCCAGTTGAGCTGATGGCAAATGGCTTCCCCAGTCCGTCAAACCTCCTCCTTGACGCTGCAGGGCCTACACGGGGTCCGGACGCTCAAGTACGACAGGTCGGTCCTATGCTTAGGATGGTGGTTGATGGAGTCGTATTTCTCAGATAGGCAAGACAAGGTAAGGCAAGGCACCAACTGTTGGCGCGATACAGTGGAGGTGAATACAATGCAGGGGAGGGCGCTCAAGATCGGGGGCGATGCAATGTAGGTACGATGCACTGAGAATACACTGGTGGTGGGTTCATGAAACGTCCTGATTGATAATCCGAGGCAGCCGTTCGTCTTCCCAATGTTCAGCGCTCACACACCCATCCGACAGGTCGCCGCCCGGACGAGGAGATGGGGAGCTGGGGAGCTGAGGAGGTTCGCAGTCCAGACCCCCGTCCTTAGCCCCGTGTCTCAGGCGGACCCTGGCGCCAGCTCTATTCCTCGAGTTGGTAGGTGGTGGGTACCTTCCCTTCTACAACCTTTGACCTTAACTGAGGTAGGTACCTAGGGACCTAAAGCACCTTCTCCCATCCGACATCACGTGCTGAGGGGCCGGCTACCAGGCTGGCCCGCCTCCGTCGGACTACGTTACTCCGCTGTTTTTCGAGGACCAAGGCTCTGGGCCCCGGTGATCACAGGGGCTGCTGTACGGTAGCCTTGGGTAGCCTGTAGGTTTACCCGCGCTCTGGTTAAGTAGGTGCCTCTTTATAGGCAGGCAGGCAGGTGCAATATAGGTGGTTCGGTGGTCGGGCTTGCCAAGAAGCAGGGAATCTATCGGTTCCCTTGCTGTTTCAACTGGTTAGGCAGGGTCGGCCATTTACATGTGAAGCAACTGATTCCCAGGTTCGTCTCTGGTGACCAAGTACTCACAAACAGACCGTGCATCGGTGCTCAAGACTTCTGAGTAGGTAAATGTACCTTACCTAGGTAGGTAGGTACGTACCTCCTTAGGTAGGTACTTAGGTAGGGAAGATTACTGTAAAAGCATTCCAGGTTCCCCACACCCTCTACAAAACATCCAGCCCAGAAGAGAGTCTCGACGGGAACCACAGTGAATTACCTCGAGTTGACCTTCAGGGTCGAAGAGACCAGTGGCAATCATCCCCACCCCGCCATGCCCCGACGTGTGGGGAGGTATGCACTGCAATTGAATGAACGACCATCGACGCAAGATTGCCGTGCCAAGCTAGGTACATCATACATCCACACTTGCAAGGACGCGGCTGATGGCCTCCCACCAGGGTAGAGGGCTTCAACCTGAGCAGCCGCTCCTGCTTACTGCCCTCACCATGTATCCTGGTCTGATCCAGGCACTGACAGAAGATCATTACTTTTGGCAGGCCAGAAGGCAAGATGGTTTGGGTAGCAGCCTGTATGACGTAACACGTGGCGGCAGTGATCTTCTGACCCAGGGCCCTGGCTGTCCTCTGAGCTGGCAGGTCTGACCCTTTCCGTTCTTCCCGTCTGGAGTTGGCCCACGACGTCATCAGCTGTGATGCAGGACCAACCTCTAAGATGGCGCCCGTGACCAGGCAAAGAGGGACAAGCTCAGCCCAAGATACGGGCACTCAACCCCGAGGTACCGGGCCATCCCCAGTCTTGGCTAGTGAGTCGCCTTGCCAATCTCCCTGGATACGTCAGATCGCTCCTGGTGCACGACATTCTAGATATCATAAGAACCGCGACTTGACGCCCCCGCCCTCCAAACCTCAACCATCACAATCATCACCCTCTTCCCTCACCCTTCTCATACTCAACGAACAACGAACTTTGGTTAAGCAGTACTCTACAAATTAAATCGTAGCACAAACCGCCTGCATCATATTCGGACGGATACTGGGAAATCCGACATAATCAATATGGAAACGATCACAAATGTAACCAACGCTGCCGTCAAGGCCGTCTGGGGCACGTCCGAGACCAAGCAAGAGCCGGTCTCTGGCGTCCAGGGCAACACCGCCAAGGGCGAGCCCTACGATGCTGGTAACCTAGGTAAGCCTCTTGTCTAGACCACAGTGGTCCCTCGTTCCCGTCTTAACAAGGTGAAAAATCACACAGAGCCCCAGAGTGTCCACAATGATGTCACAACCCCAAGAGCCTTGCCAGACGATAATGAGAAGCAACTCCAAGACGCCAAGAACACGCTCGGTGCCGGCGCCGACACCAATGCCAGTACCGACATTGGAAAACCAGAGCTCGCCGATGCCAAGCCCGAGCACATCAACAAGCCCGTCGCTGCCGACAGCTCCGTCGGCGGCCAGCACGACACCCGGGACCCCAAGGACAGCCTTGAAGATGACCCAGTGCCCAACGTCGACTTGAGCAAACCCGGCCCCAAACCCTTGGAGACGGTCGCGAAGGAGCACGGCGGCGACGCTGGCAATATCAGCAAGGACACTTCCCAGCCAGGAACTTCCTCGACCAAGGCCGTGGCAGCAAATGACACCTCGGATGGCCCGCAGAGCGAGAGCCACGGGACAGGTACGGGCGAAAAACACATCAAGACAACCGGCTTCGCTGCCGAAGGAGGAGACTTTGACGCTGCGAATGCCGGCGCTGCCATTGAAGCTGACCGTAAGTTGCCATCCATTCTTGCTTGGAGGCCTCACTGTCTCTTATACCGATCAATTTAATAACGTTATACCAGGCCTGGTCAAGGAGGGAGGACATCCCGGCCCCAGCTCCCCAGGCACGGGCCTTGGCCACACAGATAGCAAGGACAGCAGTGGCAGTGGGGAGAAGAAGAGCCTCAAAGAGAGAATCAAGGCCAAGCTGCACAAGCACTGAGCTGAGCTGGCCCATCTCTACTTGGCTGGATGGGCACATGCTGCGCATCGACTTGCTCACTTGGGGCGTTAATTTCACGACATGACACAGCTTCTGGACAATATCCTGGTAGTGAGCTACGATACTGTTGGGTATTACTTGTACTCAAATATTTTCAATGATAATTTTACCGCAAGGACTGAAAGAAACCACCCAAACTGTCCCGTAACACAAGCACAACAATGTAGTCAAAGCGACTCCTTTGGTCTCTGTACATAGCATTCCGAAGATCTAAGCCAAGGAAATCTGGCGCCATTTGCTATGGCACTTCACAGCTGCTATCATGGGCCATGCTCATAAACCTTCATAACATGAGTTCGTCCTATGTTCGCACCCCCAGAAACCTGCCTGCAGAAGCAGATCCCACATCTACCTGTCTCCTCACGCAGTTCTTCGGTAGCAGAGATGCGTTTCAACATATCCAGAAAGGACTGACGGCTGTTCGTCTGTTCCTCGTCTAGATAGCTACCACCACCTCTGCCACCCGTCTGCGACCCCCCCGCTCCTCACTACAGATTCGAGTCATGCACTAGAACATTCCTATGAAGCTGACATTGCAGGACATGGTATGACACATATGCCATATCGTCGCGCTGGAGCTCTGACAACGACAGTGTGCTCTTTGCCGGCGTGAATAAAAAAAAAAGGCACGCTGAGTGATAGCTTCAACCCACCCTTCCTTCGATAAAGCCGTCCTACGCAGACTCCGTAGCACGGCGCAGAATAGGCCGACACAAGCCTCCAGCTCGCCGGCCACTGTCGTAGGCCGCTCCGCCATTGGCAGTCATTTGTCCGTCCTCTTCACAGGACACCGCGTTTCTTCACCGGGCCTTTTTTCGTCTTTTTGTCCAACTAGGCGATTGGTCTTCACAAGCAACGCTCATCAGAGGAAGCCCGACTCTGCAAGAACTCTGGAGAAGATAATTCAGTCAGCCTTCAACGTTTCCGCTTGACAGCGGGCAGTCCGCATCGCCCACAATGACTCTGAGCCATGGAGAGGATGGGAAGATGCAGCAAGGTGTCCCTTTACTATTGTAGACGAATTCGACGTACCTGACAATCTTCTCGTCTTCTCGCTCGCGAGGCTCAACCTGCAAGCTCTTGTCGTACATCTCATGCACATCGCCGGCAGCCTGCTTATTTGAGATGATATACTCTTGTAGTTCGGGGACCGGCTGCAGAGAATACCCTACGGCTTGGTATTGTTGTATATCACGAATGACCTCAGCTGTCTTCGACCTTTTGGCGAAATTGACGAGGTTAGTTTTCTTGATGATCGATGGGATACCATCCTCGATAAATGTCAAATCGGTCAGGTAGACGCCTATCGATAATTGTAAGCAAAGTTGATCCGCGCGAACTGGTCCGCTTCTGTCATAAATCGCTTACCAAAGAAGGGGATGCATGGCGGATTTGCCACATGAAGCGACTCGCGATACTCGCCAAAGTTCTTGGTGCTGGCCATGAGTCGTCGCATGTTCTCCAGTACACCCTGAGTCCGCTGAGGAACCTGGTCCCATGTACGTTTCAGACGGGCAATGGGCGCAGTACCGAGGGCTGAGATGATGGACGTCAAGGTAGAGAAGTTGTTGAGACTCCGGCATTTCTGTCCGCAACTTTAGCTCCCGACGAACAATCCTCATGAAGGCGTGTAACTTACATCAGCGACCGCAACGAAGTGCTTGATGACGACGACGCGTTTCTTCACATCCATTTGGGCCAGAATCATTTCGGCAACCCAGTTCGTCATCTGATTAGAGTGAAGAATCAGAAGCTTGACATTGGGTGCTGGCTCAGGGTCTCCATCGGCAACCTTCTTTTGCCACGTCTTGTTCAGGCACTCGGTTGGCTTGATTTTGCCATAGAGTCGCGACTCGATGATCGTGAGCTGGCGGGCAAACTCGGTAACATCAATGTCGAGGAACTTGAGCTTTTTCATGTTCTTCGGCATGATGGGCGCAGGCGTGCTCTGGTTGACCGTTTGAATGATGCGTCGAGTGCCTGCTTCCTTGCCACTTAGGCGCTGGTCCAATATCGACATGAGGAGCGCTGAGCCAGGCGTTTCGGTGGATTTAACGGTGTCCCGAGCGAAGGCATAGACATCGCGGATTAATTGCTTGGACTCTTCGTTGAAATCCTCCATCCAGAAGTTGTCGAACCAGCTCCTCAGAATGTTGACTACACGCACGCGGATGAGTTTCTGTTTCTTGTCTCTCCAAAGCTCGAAGTCAGTGGGTGCCAGTCCTTCCGGCGGCTGAATGCCGAAACGACCAACAAGAAGCTCGAAGAGCTCTCTTGCTGAAGTGAAAGATCGATATGTGAGGAGAAAGGTATTGTTGAAGTTAGAGTCCAACTTGTCGTGGCGTGTCAGTTGCTCTACGAGGGCCAGCAGCGTGCCTCCTTTGACTGTCGGAGGCTGCGTTTTCGTATCCCATGAGATATCAGCCTCCAAGTCCAGGAGTAAGAAGTCCGGCGTATCATCAAGTTGCTGCTGTACGGAACTCTGAGGGTTCGGGTCATCTCCCAGGATCTTCTTGACCTTGGAGTAATCCCCCCTGAAGCTACCGCCTGTGGGGTCACCTTCGCTAAACGAATGTGAGGTCAGCAGCGGAGGGCGCGTTGGGGCTGTCCTGGATTCGCTGCGTTGGTGTGGACGTTCATACGGCATAGTTTCACCCCTGCGGAGCTGATCACGTTGTGAGAAAACATCTCTTGGCGCGGGTTCCAGCTGCTGTAGTTGATGTTGAGGCTGAGTTTGAGCTTGAGCTGGTGCTTGAGGTTGCTGCTGCTGCTGGTTGATGGAAACCTGCTCTGACAAAAGTTGCAGAGAGAAACCGACGTGGGAAGAGTTCGTCTCGAGAGCCTTGGCGCACTGCCTGGCATATTCGAGTCGATTTTCCAGGGCTTCGCCTCGGACCTCTGCCCATTCATCTGCGAGCGGCCCTGCTACAGCTTGACAAGCCAGTAGCAAATCGGAGATGTTGTCGTATAGACTCTGTTTGTTGACGCTGAAGTCGGCTAGCTGAGGCGTTTGGAAGCTGTTGCCTAAGGATGACAAGTTGATGGATTCAACCATTGCGATCCAAGGCTTGAAAGTCTCCAAAACTTTGCTCCCGGCTGAGCAGACATTATTTCCAATGACCTCGTGTCTGAAAGGCGTCACTATCTTTTCGGTAACGACAAGGTTCTTGTCCAGCTCTCGAATACTGAAGACGAGCATGCGTTTCAGCTCGTCTAGTCTCTCAAGCAGCTTGCCGTCTAGTCCCGCAGTAGGCTCAATGACGCCCTCCTCGTCCTCTAGAAAATTCGCGGTAATGGGGTCCCGTGGTCCCAGTCCGTTGTTTTGCCAACTGCCACCCGTGGAACTGCCGACGACGAACCCGGGAAACAGTCGTGGAATTTCCTCTCCACGCTGCTGCCGAGCAATCTCAACGTAGCTGAAGACGCCAAGCAGGACACCATCGGCTTCTTGCAGGCATTTCTGGACCGATTCGGCGTTTGGCCAATCCGCAGCAGCGATATGAGAAGAGATGACGAGCTTCGAGAACTTGGACATCATGTCTCGGAAATGAGGATAGAGGGCTTTGTTCGTCGATATGATTGATGGCTGACCGGAATGATTGTCCGTAGTACCGGATCCAGCGGCAAGAAGCAGTCTAAGATGATCTGAGATGTCTTCGGCACGTGCGACATACTCAGAGCGGCTGTTGTTTGTTATGGCTTCGCGATAGCGATCTACGGCTCGTCGCATGTTGGAGACAAGGCGCGTCCATGTCAAGGGTGGAGTCGAACCATCGTCAAAGAATGAGCGCGGCACGGTACTTGTTGGTGGTGCATTGTATGACGTGCTGGTAAACGAAGTGGCCGAGGCGATCATGGGTGTTGGTGTCACGCCCAGAGTCTGGGTGGTAAAGGGATCGCCTTTCAGACGAGCCGCGGGGGAAGCTCCATTCATAGAGTCCATCGAGGTTGAAGGCGACAGGCTACTGTCGTTGTGTGAGCGACGATTGCGAGTCTGCGGGACATAAGATCACGTCAGCGATTTTCACCAGCGGTAAGTGGATCGAGAGGTGTGAGCATTACCCCTGAACCTCGAGAAGCGAGCATTAGTGACTCGCCCTCCATCTCAGATGCTGAGTTCGTTTCTGAATCCTCGTCTTCGTCCTGCGTCAGACCGCGGGCCATCATCTCAGGTGGCGGTCGTGTTCGATCTGGTATGCTGACGTTCATACGGTCTCGGGGCCCGGTCTCGCTGGCCGACACGGGGGACTCAAGAGGAAGTTCCATACTGCGGTCACCCGTCATCATGTTGTAGTAGAACAAGCGGCCGTCTGGAGTTGCTTGTGGTATCCAGAAATCGGCTCTCGACTTGTCGCCAGGTTGCGTGCCCTCGAGAGGCAGTCCATTTGTTCCATCGTGATCCGACTCGTCCTCTTCGTCGTCGAACTGCTCTTCAAACTCATGCTCGTCTTCCTCTCCCAATGGTTCGTCTTCTACCTGCGGCATCTCGTCCGGGTTTGTGATGACCTCGCAATAATTGGAGGGGAACCAACCGCGCACACCGTCAAAACGCCATCCCACCATCCGGTCTCCAATCTGTTGAGAACGCAAATGACGTCGCCTTCGTTGAAGGTCAAGCTCGTCCGATCCTCCGCTTCGTAGTCGTACAGGGCGCGGACGTACATGTTGCCCTGTGGGGCAGTGCCCGCAATGCCATTCATGTTGGAAGTGGCTGTCAAGTGACTCGGGTCTGTTTCGGCGTGGTAGTCGAGGGATTGGTCGTGCGGCAATCTCTTGCGCGCGTACTGGGTACTTTTCTTCTGAGGATAAAATTGCGCCGACGCAGCAGTCTCTGTCATGAGCATTGTGATGCGCGCTGAGCGCCGGGATAGCGACGTTCGAAGGAGGAGGAGGGCGGAAGGGGGGGAAGGTTAAGCCATGATCCACCTCCACAGCCTCGCCTCCAGGGGGATGTTGAACGTTAGTCGGTGGTGGTGGATGAAGTGGGGCGTCCACTGAGTATGTGATGCACCCAAAGACGCAACGTAGGTTCTCAGAATGAATATGGTCGAGACGCGCTGATTGAATTGGTAGTTGCGATATCCTTCCTCTAACGACAAGTTGCTACTCCAGTAGTCCAAAGATGAGCAGATGCGCGATGGGGTGGGGCATCCCGATTTGGCACACGGGGGGACAGGAGTGTGTGGGTGTCACGTGGTTTTTTCATCAATCTGGCGCGCTACTGATACTGTTACTGGCGTGAGGGGATGGCAGGCTGACAACCCAAAGTCTGGGTGACTGGACAGCCAGCCAGTGACCCGTTGGAGGGTCCTGGTGCGACTAGTACCCAATCAGCTGAGGTTGCAGCGCGACGACTCGCAAAATGGCCGCCTACCAACCCAGTCAGCCGACTACGTAGCCAATGGCGAGCGATTTGCCAAGTCTCCCCCTGAGAACCGAACCTCTTTCTGGCACTTGCCGAGGGCCAGCCAACCTCGTCTGTCCCAAATCGCAGCACATCAACCAGCGAGCGTCTCGAGGTCAAGGGTTGTTGAAGTGTCTGTCCAAATAGACAAACGGGCTTCTTTTCAAACACCAGATTGACCGAGGGTCGAAGATTTAAACACCGTGAAGCATGGACAGCCCGGCCATGGGGGCAAAGTCGGGGGAACGATACGAGACAGGGCGCAGAAAATGATTCACGGGAACAGCCGGGCGCGGGCGAGACGCGCATGACGAGGAGTCCGAGAGACGTCCCAAACGTTTAAAAGTTGTTCAAAACCACTGCCCCCGCTAGCTGAGCACTGAAGGGACATCCTGTGCTGTTGTGAGGATGGCTCCAGTTGGGTCGCGGGGCCTCGGGGGCTACCACGCGGATCCGCGGCAGGGCGATCCCTGGCTTGTGATGGCTGGCTGCTTCGCAACACTCCACTCTAGCCTTTGCCATACAGCCTCGACCTCATTCACCATCGGCGCATTTCAGGCACACTGAACAGTAGCATCGAAAGTCGTCGGCTGGCCTTGGCGAGCTTCGGTCTCCGTCCGCGGTCGATAAAATCCAGACGAGACTAATTAAATGTGAGGGATGAGTTGGCGACGAGTATCGAGGTTGGCTGCCATGGCAAATCCAGCTTCCGTCCGCCTACAGGCCCCTCTCTTGATCCCTTCACCGACTCAACATGCTGCTGAAGGCCCCATCCACTATCGTGGTGTCGACATGTACAATGTGGACTCCGATGCATGGTAGAGATGCAGCTTTCACCGCTCTGACGGCTCAGGACGAGCTGGGTTCCTGTAGAAGGCAGCGCACCGCCACCTCGGTCCATGTGCTACCAAGTAAGCCAAGGTTGTCGTTAAATCGTGGGTCTCGACAAACGAGGTGGCGATATGACTCTTATGTAGTATGTAAGGGACGAACTGTAAGCAAAAAGCATTGGGGCGGACAGCCCGTGGTCGCTGGTGCGAGAGGGGCAGCTGAAATGAAGGGCGAACTGTGCCATTGCTCATCCGGGTCAAACTGGAGTGGGCAGTTGATGATGACAAGTAAAGCAAGTGATGAGGGTTTCGCACCTCAGGCAATAACCAGGTATGAGGCCAGCCTCACTTTTCCGCTCCCTGGCTCCGCGGTCCCCGGCCCTGGTCCTGTCGGCGGCCGCGCTGTCATGGTGCTCCAGCTCCATGCTTGCCATCTCCCTGGCCATATCGCCAGGACGGCCTGCATAGCAGCACAGGGGACGGAGGCATGTACTTTGCACAGTGGGTGCACCTAAGGCAAGGCAAGGCAATGTCGGTGCATCACGCCAGGTGTGCACACCGGCGTGGCTGATGCGATCAGAGCAAAGAGAGAAGGATGGCCGATGGACGGATGGGTGGGGGACCTACAGTAAGGAGGTGGTGGCTCGTGCTGCCTCACTTGCCTCACTCTGTCGCTCCCGTCATGCGGGCCGTGGGCTGTAGCCGTCGATGGTCTGTGGTTGCAGTGACGACGATGCGATGGCCACTCAGGCGTCGCGCGATGCGGCGCACGGTAGTGAATCCGGGCCCATCCCTATCGTCCTTGATTCTGGGATACCAGACTGGCAGAGCTGAGGTATGATGATGGAGGTCGAATGAACAGTTGGTTTGTCATGCTGAATGCGATCCACTTGAGTCGCGTCAAGTGGATTGAGATTACACGTCCAGACAACAAGCACTGCGATGGGCTTCAGCGCACTACGACAACACAATGGGCGGACACTGAGACGCAAGGATTGCTGGGGCGAGAAGAGCGATTGGGCACGAAACAGCGAGACAGCGCGGCCGCGGGCGAGGCCGTAGTAGCTACATTCGTCGCCCCGCCGACCCCTCCAACAAGTGACCCCCTCCTCCTCCTCCTGCTTCTAATGGCCCCTCCTGCTGGCCATCCCCCTTCCTCCCCCTTCTACCTCAGCCTCCCCCCCCCTTCTTCCGTCACGTTTTCCGGAGTCTTCCTTGCATCCCGCATCAGACTTTACGTGACAGGGACGGGGACGGGAGGGGGAGCTGGGACTGGGGCCCTAACCCCCTTTGTACGGGACGCGACCGGTGTGAAAATTAGAAAGGGGGTTCGAAGAAGGGGAAATAGGTGGGGAAACGAGGGTTTCGGCTTTTTATTGCCCGAGGGACCCGGGGGGGG